AATGTTATTTCATGACAAAGCTTTATAGAGGTCTAAAATTCTGCCTACCAAAACATACAAAATATTGAAGATGAAGATTTAGAGGTTTTCTGAAATACTCTGAATCCACAAGATTATTCATCTCACTTAGATGTTGTAAGAGCAAGTGCAAAGTCGCCTCTTTAGAGATCACTGTCAGCTAAGTGTGTATCTGGAACAGGACAGGTATTTACCTGTCGACTAAGAAAGGATCAACAAGGAGAAGATGATAATGAAGATGAAGAGTTAGATATTGCAGAAGAAGAAAATTAATTTTCTTAAGTGAACTTCACATTTCCATTTTCATGTTAAACAACTTGAAATCCAGGGTTACTACATTGTCAAACTTTATCCTCACTTCATAGGTTGAAATCTCAAATGAAATCTTACTAGAAATGGAAAAAGAACTAAAGGCAATTTATGCTGCCAAAAATCAAAGTTTTAAAAAAAATTACACACTATTTTTTTTCAACATCTTGCCTAGTGTTATATGATCTTTTTGCATAAGCTCCATTTTTTAAAAAAAGATTATGTATTTCAAGGTATTCATGTCAATACACTTTAACTAGCTGAAGAAGCCACAATAGTAGGTAGATGACAAAAACTAAAATATCTAACACTTCCACTTAGCTTCTTTTAGTTTGGGACTCTGTCCTTTTATCACCAGAAAAGGCTATGTAGTCATTCCAGTTACATAAAAATTCTATTCCATGAAGTCTTAAGCTTCTGTTTTTTTTGTTTGTTTTTTTTTTTTTTTTTACTAAAATCTATTTCATCACTTGATACGTGAATTTACTTCTCAACAAATCAGTGAAGTAAAGACATTGGGACACTAAGATACCAGTGTTTTACAAATATACATAAAGCATAAATTTTAGCTTAAAAAAAGCCACATTCAACCTGATTCTGGATTTGAAACAAAACTGCTGTTAAGTATATACAAGGTACAGCCATTTAGAAGCCTAGTAATTTGGTAGAATTATGCCTCTTCATGGAACACTATAAACCATTAAAAATTCTTGTACCCATAAATGCATTAATGTATACATGATCTATATGGTTATGACTTAATAAAAATTAAAAAAAAATTACTAAGCTACCATCTAGTTAATAAAATGCGATGTAGTCACTCTTATTCCTAAAAATATAAAACAATCAGAGCCTTTCTGATGCTTTTTTTACTTTTAGTGAGGAATTATACTTTTATTTCATGGATCCCAGTCAAGCATATACAAATTATGAAATTTATAAAAATCATTTGAGATATCTAGAAACAGCAATCATCCATTACAGAGAAATAAAGTCTTTCTAGAAAGTAAAAAAAAAAGATGAAAGATGACTTAATCTCTTTTGCAACAATTTGGGGGGAAGTGGAGACCATTATCCTAAGTGAAGTATCTAAATAACAGAAAAAACACTACATATACTCACTTTTAAAATGGAACTAACTGATTATGACTTCACACAGCTGGAAGTAAAATTCAACAAAAATCAAGTAGGCAAGGGTGGGGGAGAAGGGTTTGGTGAATTAGTACCTAATGGGTACAATGAACACAGTTTTGGGGATGAGCATAGGTATAACCCTGACACAACCTGTACAAAAGTAGTCCGTGTAACCAGAACATTCGTGCTCCTGTAATATTCTGAAATTTGAAAAACTGGGCAAATGACTTGAATAGATATTCTTATAAGAAGACGTATAAATGGCCAACAGGGATATGAAAAATGTTTCAATATTATTAATCCATCAGGGAAATTCAAGTCAGAACCACAATGAGATACCATTTCAGCCCAGTTAGAATGGCTGGTGAGGATGCAGCGAAAAGGCAGTTCTTATACACTATTGATACATGTGTAAATTTGTGAAGTCATTATAGCAACAGTATCTTCATTTCTCAAAAAACTCAAAATGGAACCTTTATATGATCCTGCAATGCCACTACTGAGTATTCATCCAATGGAAAAAATCAGTATTTCAAAAGAGTACCTGCAATCCCATGCTTATTGCAGCACTATTTGCAATAGTCAAGATATGTAAGCAACTTATGAGCCCATCGGTGGATGAATATATAAAGAAAATGCTGTATATATACAAAATGGAACATTGTTCTGCCATAAAAAATGAAATTTTCTTAATTGCAGCAACATGGATGGAATTTGATGTGGTTATGTCGTTATATAAGCCAGACATGGAAAGAAAATTATCATGTTTTCTCTTATATAGTTGACATAAAATTTGATTTCCTGGATGTAGCAAGTAGAATAATGGTTATCAGTGTCTGAGAATAGTGGGGGGGAAGAGGAAGATAAAAAAAATTGGTTCACGTGTACAAATATGCACTTAGATAGAAGAAATAAGTTCCAGTGTTAAATAACACCACTTCAAACATTTATCATTTTTACATATTGAGAATATTTCTAATCTTCTCTTCTAGCTATTTTGAAATATGCAAGGAATTATTGTTAATTATAGTCACCCTACTGTGTTGAGGTAGGTTATTGATATAGGTGAAGTAGTGTATTTATCAAATGCACATGACAAAGGCAAAGGACAAATTCATTCACTCAGGAGATATTTACTGAGCCCAATTATGTTCCATGGATTATGCTAGGTGCTGGGGGCATTAAATAAACAAATATACCATGTGTTGACTGGTGTTATAAGTAAACAGCAGAATGAGGCTACAAGGTTATAGGGATGGGTGTTAGACAAGATAGTCATGAAAGGACTCTCCAAAGTGGCATATGAAGGTCAAAGTAGGCCATTAATTTCCCTGGAGAAGATAAAGGATCAAATTCAGTTTTCAATAGGATGAGTTTGTGATATGTAATAGATACCCAAGAAGAGATGTTCAATAGACAGCTGCAGGTACAAGTGTTGACTTTAAAAAAAGGAGTTTGTTGCTGAAGACAATTTTGGACATCCTCACATACAGGTTGGGATTTAAGCCATGGGTCTGGATGGGATATGAGAATACCTAAAAATTGGAGGAAGACACAAATGAAGTACCGTGCTCTGAAGTTCCAACAGTCAGAAATTGGCAATATGAGGGGTGATCCAACAGAGCAGAAATGGCCAATGATACGGGGAGAAATGAACATTCCTTTGATTAGGAGGCCAAGTGAAGAAGAGTTTTAAAGAAAGAGGTAGTCATGAACTGCATGAAATGCTAGCTAGTGGTCCAGCAAGTTGAATTTAATAACAGTATGCTTTTTGTTGATGGGGAAGATGCAGTGTAGGAAGAAAAATAGATTATGTGGAAGAAAGGAAGGAGAGTTGCAGAACAAAGGCTTTGATGAGGCAAGGGGGGATGAGGCCCAGAGTTCAGATGGTCAGTCTTAGCTAAAAACACAAATTTATGTGCACGTATGCACGCTCATTTTCAAGGTTTATATTTCCATGCACCAAGTACTTTCAAAATTTTCACTTTTACAGAAGTATGTTCATAACGCTCATTTTCTCTGTGAGATTTTAAACAGAGTAATTGGGAGGGCACTATGAGTGATCCTTGTTTGTAATTCAGTTCCAATCTCTGCTTTGTTAGCTCCCCATGTCAGATGATGAAGTAACTATAGGACATAGTTTAGTGTTTTCTGCGAGTATACCACAACCGTCCTAGGTATAGAAGGTGGTGTGGATTTTAAGAAAAACGTTAAAAATCTCTCCAAGATACTGGGCCGACTTAGCCCCTATTACATTGCTGTGATTTCTGTGAAATGTCAAAGGTGACAACTTTTTTACTTTGAGTTCTAAAGTGTTTTAATGAGAAGCATATTGGTTATTCCCTGACCGCACTTTATCTCCGTTATATCGCTAGCGCCCAGTACATTGCATAGTTTAAAGTATCAAAGCAGTAAAGCCTCATTTGAAGAAGATAGAAAAATTATAATTATTGTCTCTACAGACCAGATATTCTTGAAGCAAGGTAGGGGAAAGGTTAGCTTCAGACATCCTGTCTTTGTTGCCACAGTAGAGTTGAGTAAGTGCGTGTGCGTGTGTGAACACTGCAGTTCATCAATAGGGTAAGGACAAGCAGAGGTGGGGGGTAGACAGCACAGATATACTCATTTCTTTCACATGTATTTTCTCCTGCCTGTGACTTCAAGGAAGCTAATGTACAACGGACTAAAATCTCTTCACTAGTATTTGTCACTAAATACCAAAATGGGCGTGGTTCAGCTTATAGGACACCTGCTCTTCTTAAGCCAAGCAGATATTTCAGGAGTCCTCCCCTGACACTGACTCTTCAAGAGCTTGGGAGGGTCCCCCAGTATTCTCATCGTTTTCGGGAATCCTTACCCCCCCAAGACTGCTTGGTAGACACTAGAGGCCCTGCTGAGCATGTGTGAAGAACGCCGCGCATGCTCCGTGGAGTGGGCAAGTTGACCGAGGCGCTAGCAGTGGCTATTACTAGGCTTCACCCGCCTCGGCCGCCCAGCCCATCCCGTCCACTCCCCTCTATCCCAGCCTCCACCATGCGGTCCCCCGCGTCCGCCACGCCCAATTTTCCCACCCCCCTTCACCCCAGGGAATGGAATCTCCATTGACGTTTGGGTGACGCCTCAGTGCAGTAGCTGTGATGGTGGTTGGGGGTGGGTTCCAGGCGCCGAACAGGTAACGCAGCCACTGCCGCCATATTGCCGGAGTTGGGGGCCGAGAGGGGCCCAAGGAAGCGGGGTGGTGGTGGGGAGTCACTGCTGAGCTGCCGTCGCGGCGGTGGCAGAGAGAGTGGTGAGCTTGAGCTGAGCCAAGCGGCAGCTCTCAGAGAGGTAGCACGAAGTTGTCTTCTCTATGGGAAGAAGCAGCCAAAGGCAGCGGTGGCGACCTCCAGCTTTCTGCCTCTAAGGTATCGGGCGGCTAGGGTAGCGGTCACTGTAGGCGGAGCTGGGGATTAGCGGAGGTAGCGGGCCAGTTCAATTAGACGGAATGTACGGCCTTGCTAGCGGTTGGCAGCTCCTGTTTGAGAGCTCCTGAAGGAGCAATGCTACTGTTCGCTCCTGAGGACGAACCTTGGGACCAAGAAATGGAGGTGTTCAGCAGCGGCAGCGGAAACGGGAGCGAGGTTAGTGTGGTGGCCAGGATGGGCTGGAGCCACTCCCCCTTCTTCTTCTTAGGACCTTGGTCAGGGCCCAGAGTGAAGGGGCTTGGGCCTGGGGAGCTGGGCGTCGGGGCAACTGCCTTGAGGCTGCTCCAACCGAGTTTTCGCTGGAGAGCAGCGGGGACCGAAGGGCGGGCTCTGCTGTGCGGAATGAAGACAGCTGGAGCCTGGGCTCGGCCTTGGGTGGAACGTCTGCTTCACTGGCCATGCCAGAGTTGCTGTCTGTGACTTAAGTGTCTTTGCTTTCTGGCCAGAAGTTGGACTCAGGGAAGCGCAAGGTGCCGCCCCTGAGTCTGTTCGTCCCTCTTTGTCAGCCTTTCTCAGTTGCTCACTGGGAATACTTCAGGGGAGAGCTGCGAACGAACTCCAACTCACGTTGAGCCCTGAGCGCTTTAGGAATCCAGCCCTACAAAAACCATAGCAAGGAGACTAAGTAACTCGGTACATTTGCATATAGGGACCAGCGTACCCTCGTAACTCAGCTTTTTCATTTCTCTGTGGCTTGATAATTATTTGTAAGGACTCAAGTCATGATGAACTGGCAACTTATTTCCAGTCGCCAGGTTTCAGGTAATGTTCTGCGGCTTCCTCTGTAGTCCCCTTGGTTCTACTGTCCTCTTCCTACTCCCCATCTCTTTCCCCGGCCGCTGTTCCCGCCCCTTTTGTTCTGTAAAAGACAAAGCAAAGCAATCCTCAGCCCTTGTAAGAGGAATCTTTAGTAAGACTTAGGAAGGAAAGTTCAACTAAAATATTTTGGTTATACTCTCCTCCCACTGTTCTTACTTCTGAAACTGTTCTGGCTGGGCTTTGGTCAGCTGTGCTGTGAAAACTTTCATGTGCACAGGTACTTTGTTTTTATTGTTAAAAATCGGGCAGCATTTAAACACAAAACGTGTCTTTTGCGATAGAAAGTTAAATCCTTTTATGATAACTTAATCGACTGCATACTACTCCAGTAGAGGCCATCACACACCTCCTCAAAATAGTTGCTGAATGTCAAATTGATTCACAGTAGGATATTTTGAGTTAAGACTCAGATCTTTAACATGCCAAGGGTGCAACTTTGTCTTCAAGTACTTGCCCCAACCTTTTTTTATTATTATTATTAAATGATAGCTGTATACATTAATGCAAACATGGGGTACAGTGTAGTGTTTTCATATACAATTTGAAATACTTTCATCAAGCTGGTTAACATAGATTTCGTGTCATTTGCTTAGTCATTGTGTCAAAACATTTATATTCTTGCCCCAACCTTTAAGAATATGCTTGAACTGTTGTATATTTACCTTACTCTTTTTTCTTTCTTTAAAAAAAAATTTAAACAAAACTGTTTTTAATATTAGATTCTGGAATAACATGTAACAAGAAATTAAATTGAAATAAATTCAGAAGTACTTGAAAGTTGAACCCTCTATACTTAACAAAAAAGATTGTGTTAGTAGCAATACTGAAAACGTTTTAATATTCTACATCTCTTAAGAATGGGACCATTCCTATGGTTCATATTACAAGAGTACATATCAATTCTATTAAGTATAGAGTATAAATGTCTTAACACAATAATTAAGTAAATGAGGTGAAGGCTATATTAAGTAGTTTGATGTAAGCATTCCGACTTGTATTTAAAATCAGCACATTATAACCCATAAATGCATTAACATATACATGATCTATGTGCTTATGAATCAATAATAAAAAGTCTAAAATAATGTTGTTCTATTATAAAAGAATGGGATAAATAAGGAGAAATTCCATTTCTACTTGAAATGTAGGAATGCTAACTGCGCAATTTTTCCAGCAAGTCTGCTGAAGAAGAAAGGAATTTTATTCATCAGTGAAATCTATTGATTTAGTCACAGGCGTTTAGTTTACAAAAAATAGTTAAATGCTCTGATATAAGGATGGGATGGGAGGTGGGGAGCCTTTTGCATGGCTACTATTTTATTTGTTAATTTTAAATGCCTTATGTTTTAAATTGTAATTATCACATGTATGGTTATTTTTATTGTTTGCAGTATGTTTTAGGTATTGTAGAGATTTAACAATGGGTCTCTCTACCTCAGCAATTTGGAAAAATACTCCAGTGGAAATTGTTAATCCCTAAGAAGTAAAACGAAAGGTGAAGGTAATGTGGTGAAGATAGTATTTCTGCCTTCTTTCTCTAAAACAGTTATGATTATTAGTATTAACACTGCAAGTGACTTAATTAAAATATTATAGATGAAAACTACATGTTACATTTGGGCAGAAGTCACCCTAGATTAGGAGTTTTGTTTTTTAATTATATTATTTTGATAAGAAGAAAATGATTTTATTTTTGAGAATTGATATTAATTTTAATTAATTGATTAATCAATTGCTTAATTGATTTTAATTTTAATTCCTGTTTGTTGATCTTGGCTTTAAAAATGCTAACTTTAAGTAAGAGCTTTACAACCCTCAATCATGATAGTTAGTATAACTAAGAATGTTTTCATTGTAGAATATATATTTTTAAAATGGCTGGAATTCTTAAAATATTAGGTAAGAATCCATTAACTTTAATGTCAAAGGGAATAATTTCTTTCAGTTTGTATGTGTGAATCCTGATAAGATTAAAGATTATAGACACTACCATATATTCTGGAATCATTTATATCTTTTACCTATCTCTACCTTGCTTAGTTCATCAAGAGAGCTAATCATTATCTTGTTGTTCCATAATAAGTCCAACCAATGGTGTAGCTCCTTTCTTGGGCAATATTGTTTCAATACCAGCCCTCTTATAGTCATTATCATCTATAATTTTGAAGAGGAAATACAAGATATTTTTCTTCTTTCTGTAATTTCTTTCTTGGTCATTGTATTTGGCAGCAGTTCTGAAGATTTGGTAAGTGTGGGGCTGGCTGGGTGTGGTGGCTCAAGCCTATAATCCTGTTATTCTGGAAGGCCAAGACAGGTGGATTGCTTGAGCTCAGAAGTTCAAGACTAGTGAGAGCAAGTGTGAAACTCTATTTCTACTAAAAATAGAAAAAAAATAACCAGGTATGGTGGCACATACCTGTAGTCTCAACTACTCTGGAGTCTGAGGCAAGAGGATTACTTGAGCACAAGGATTTGAGGTTGCTAAGAGCTATGATGCTATAGTCCTACCCAGGGTGATAGAGTGATACTCTGTCTCAAAAAAGAAAAAAAATACCCATGCATGTTTTTTTTCCAAGGATTATTTACTATTCGTGCTGATATATATATTTTTTCTTTTGTATTTTCTTCTTTTTTTTTGGTGGGAAAAGAGTTGGATAGGAAATAGATTTAAAACCAAGGTTTATCTGTCTTGCAGATAATGGAAGTTTTTCCTGAAGTGCTCTGGAGGGATTTTATATAAATGATTTCACTTCAAGATTTTAACCTGTTATTTTGACATTTAAAGCAGTTGTTGTACCTGTGTTGTGGGAGGGGAGAATGGAGAGGGAAGGAGAGGGCAACGTTTTGGGTGAATAGTTACTTGTTCTTTGCTTCTTTTCACAAAGTATTTGAGATAGTTTATGGGAAATACAATCTAATAACAAACTATTTTGATATTTAGGGTAAAACAAAACATAAAGTAAGGGATGTATGGAAAGGGTGGAGAATGGGAGTGGAAGATGAAATAGAACACAAGTAAGTAGTCTCCAAGGTTCTACTACATTTAAAAATATATAGTTGAATTGTATATTTGGCCTTGATTTTTGGGAGGTTGTCTTTCTTAACTCTTATGTGTATTAGATTTAACTTGGAGATTTAAAAAAATTATACTAGGGCTCTACTCATAGAAATTCAGATTTAACTGATCTTGAGTGGGGGATCTGGGCATCGTTCCTCAGATGATCATGATGTTGGCAAGGGATAAAAACCAAAGTTCTAGGCCAAAGTAAAAAGATGTACTCATGTAGTTATTGTTGTTCAAACAGAACAATACAAATGCATATCAGTCTTTAAGCTACCAATTGATCTACAATAAACTTTCTCTGTGTTTTATCCTATGATTATTTTAAGATGTGACTCTCAAAGGAGGGTGCATGAGCTGTGTTGTGTGCTCTTACTCTTTACTTTTGAGGAATTTGCTTTTCCATTAGAGTTAAGCCAAAATTTTAGTGGTCTAGCTGATTTTGATATAGTTTTGCCATACAATTAGGAGGTTAAGCTTTTGTACCTTATTACTAGCTAAGTAAAAGGACAGTGACTCTGTTTGAATAACAAATATATTACTACAACTCTAAAATATTTTTCAAAGGCTACTGATAATTATCATTAATATGTTACCTCTGTGCCTTTGTGGTTGAAGACAAATTTTAAGAGGAAATATAGCATTTTTGATATCCAATATAAATTTTTTATATGAAAAGATGTGGAATCCATTCCATTTAACAAATGTATTTAAACTTCAGGGAGAAAGAGATGTGTCATTTATTGAACACTATGAAACAGACACTACTAGATGTTTCACATAGTTTACCACATTCAGTTTTATTAACTCTTCAAAAGCATGTTGCTAAGAAAGTGTCTCTTTTACAGATGACAAAGAGACATGTAAAAGAGTGAGAGAGGTGCATCCCTTTGTATATTGCTATCTTCCACCTTAAGGACAACACTGAAAGTAAAGAGAGAATATAGACAAGTTATTGACAATCATATAAGATCAGCAGTCAGATCACTGATTCGGCAGTCAGACAAGTCTACTCAATTTAAACAAAGGTTAGCAAAATCCCAGCAACACTGTTTTTTGGTTTTGGTTTTGGTTTTTTGAAGCTTATTGTAAAATTCATACATAAAAGCACAGGACCTAGAGGTTCTAAAACAAGTTTTTAAAAGAAGAATAAAATTAAAGTAATTGCTCTCTACTGGATGTTAAGATTTACCTTATGTTTAACTGTAATTAAGGCAGTATACTGTTGGTGGAAGGATGAAACATAGATCAGTGGAACAGAAGTGGACCACACAAA